GTAAATCATGTGAAACACTCACATTCATAAGCGGATCCAGGACGGACTCCTAAGAAGGCTGGGGGGCCGGGAGGGAAGGGAGAGGGGAGGAAGAGAGAGTCCCATCCCACTTTGGAACTATGCAAAAACTAGGGATAGATTTGTAACACTGCTACTTGGGGTTACTTTAGGCTTTAGCTTACTTTAGTTTTAGTCCTGCGCTTTTGCAGCACTAGTGCCTGTGTTGCTGGAGGATCGGGAGCGGAAAGGGGGAGGGGGAAAGGAGGGGGAAGGGGCGAAAGGCAGTAGGACGTTCTGGATACTCAGATTGTTGAATGTTCATGGTGTTAGGCATTTTTCATAAAACCGTAAGAAAGGGAACCATCATCTTGTCAGCAACCAGTTATTGGAAAAAAAATTACCACCGAAATCGCAGTTCGTTTTTGTTTCTCATAGGAAATGAAATGAGATGGGATGTTTGAATGATAATCTAGAATTGTTACTTCCTTTAGAATTGTTACGTTCTCTACAGTTGTCTAGAATTGTTACTTTCTTTAATTGAAATGTTTATTTCACGAAAGTATTTTTGCTCTATAACTCAAACATCAAGTCAAGAATCGTGGAGCACAAAGTACGGTAACATCACTACGGTAATATCGTTTGGACCAATACAGCAACGTCGCTACAGTAATGTGGTTTGGGCTGTTACAGTAACACTACCAGCATGGGATTACCATACACCCGGTCGGTCCTGGTGATGTTGGGCTTCAAAATAAATTGTTTCTTTTGCCAAGGAAGGGGGCGTCTAGTTATTCTCTGAAATTCTGTTCTCATATATGATAAATTCGGTTTTGTTTTCAATCCAAAAATTTTTTCAGACTCTATGAGCTTGGTCCCCGGCTTACATTGGAACTGACGAAAATCGAAGAAGGTGTTGATGAGGGTGAAGTTCTTTATCACGCTTATATCTCGAAAACTGTCAAAGAGCTTGTTCGACTGCGAAAGGAATTGCCGAAGAAAAAGTTAGCATTCTTATTTTTTGACGTAATGGCATTTTTATTTCCTCACATTTTGCAGGAAGTATTCAAACTAAATGCAGAGTGATCGTGGAGGACTTACTGGTAGTCGGACAGAAACTGGAAAACCCACATTCGTTCCCTTCCATCCTGTACAGAAGACAAAGGGATTTAAAGATGGCTAGAGTAATAAGCGTTTTTTCCTTTCTCTTTCCTTTCTCTCCCCTCCCCCTCTTTCCCTCTTCCTCCCTTCCTACCCATCAGTGACTACTCATTGACAAGGCGATGAGTGGTTTTTCCTAAAATTCCAATGAACAAAAAAGCTGATCGCTACATTGGCGTTGTAACTTGATATTGCTGCTAGTTCACCACTGATTCCAGCGATCTGACAGATAAACATGCCATTTTCTTTCTTTTTCGCTTCATGGATGCTTAGACCAGTGCTACATCGGCTGGTGATCAGATTTCTGGCAATGCTGATGTCCTTTTCCACTTCTAAAGGAATTCCGATCAAAAGGGTTCGCCAGGTGGAGGAATTTTGACAAGGCATTAGCCACTCGGGAATTCAAGGACGCGTTTTGAATGCCAGTACCTTGTTTCCAAACACGGCAATTCTCAAACGACCTTTGAGATAACGGTCCGTCTCGGAGATATGACAAGGCTCTGTTTAAAATTAAAATAGTGGACCGGAACATTTCTTACTTTTATAATAATTTTATTAAAATAATTGTACTACTTCTACTAATTTCTTAATTCTTATTTCGGAATTTGTCTCTTCCATTCTCCTTCCTATTTCATTATGCCTTTCTATTATATTAAGCACAAATTTTTAAAAACTGCGTGACGCACTCTGGTCTTCATTGTCTCATTTGTTGGACTACTGTGAGGTGTGTTTGTAGGAAGATAAAGGAAAAGATGCGAATAAGAAATGAACATCGTGTTATTCGACGTTTGAAAACTTTGGATGAGCAGAAAGCTAAATTTGAAGAATCGCTGAAACAAGAACAAGAAAAACTAGTGAGAAAACACAACGAAGTGACCGGAAATGAAGAAAATGATAACCGTGTTGCTTAGATCGTAAATATTCCGATGCAGAGTCGTACGTAGAGGGCATTTTTTCCTTCTTAAGAAGGATCGTACATTTTTTTTGTCGGGGCAGAGTTTTTTTTTGGTCCGTCTTACTGTGTTGTAATAATTAGCGCATAAAATTATAGTAAAATTCGTCGTTAATGTTAGTGTTTGCTTACAAAAGTCATTTTTTGTGCGTTTTTCCGTATATCCAAGTTGTAAAAATGCGTATTGGCAAAAGCCTGTCTGTGTTTGTGGTCGTACTTTTTGTCACCCACTTTCAACTCGAGAACCAGAAATGCTAGAAGGCTGAAGCCCCCTCCCCATGCCTTGCTCAAGAAGTCACACTTTGCTACCGACCACCGGCAGCAGAAGTTGCGATGAAAAAATCACCCCATTGCACGATGGGTGGTTCTTGTCGTGCAGTTCGAAACCTTAGCCCCGCCCCACGCTGCCCGGCGACTATACGAGCGATCGGGCTACGTTACACGAAAATCTTCCAAGCGCTGCTTAAACCCAGTGTGACAGTGGCTCACCAATAGAGTCTGTGGCGAATGTTCAAGTGCTGCACCCAGAAACGGTCGTTACTTGTATAAGCGGGTGAGGATCGTCACCCTCCACTATTGTCTACGTCCCGCATACTGATACAGCAAAATCCAGGCTCCAAAACTGCTTTTTAGAGGT